TCTGACCTGTAACTTGGCCTGGTTTGATCTCCATGAAGATAGAAAGGTTTAATGCCATACTTTGAAACATTCCAGACAAAGCAAAAGTTACACAATGCACCTTTAAAGACCTTTCAATTGACAATCATGTCACTGAGATGAATACTAACACCATTTTCTGAAGCTATTCTGAATATTTATTTTTACTTTCATTTACGCTTACAGAGAGTAAATTTGTACAAGATTCTGTTTTACGTGGATACGCCCAGCAATTCCAGAAATAACCATAAACCAGTTCTACAAATCTGTAATTTATCAAAGTCCGCCACAGAATTCTGACATGTCCTTAAGTCCAGCTCCATTTTAAACTGTAGGCACTTCGTGGTCTGGAAAGTTGTCCCAGGAACCATTCAAACAGTACATATAGGCTAACACAGGGGCCACCAAACTTTATTCTCTGGGGGCCACATTATCGCTCCTGACTGTGATTGTGTGACCCTGAAGACACAGATTATCTTATTTGAAAACCGCCACACTTTCTTTACATATCAGACAAACTGCATTGTCCTTACACTGAACAAAAAAATAATAGGTCGTCCGCTCTTTGTAAACTCGGCGCTCTCTGTCAACTTTTAATAAGTGACATGTATATTTCTTGATGAGTATCTTACTGTTTTCTACATTTTTTAGTAGCTGTATTGTGTTTGTACCATATATTTTTCTTCTACTACGATTGTCATTGTTTGTCCTGTGTTTATGAACAGCACTTTGGCCTACTGTAAAGTTTTTAAAGTGTTTAATAAATAAAGTTGGTATGGTAACTTTTCGTACTTTAACACTCACCATTTTGCATTTTGAACTCTGCGCGTGTGTCGACTGTCAAGATTTGATCTCGAGCTTTTCAAGTGACGAAAATTTGGCTGCAAATGTAAATACGTCATCTAATTATTTAAATATAAAAATAAATACTTCATATAAGGGTCCAGTCAAGTGGTAAAGGAGGGAAACGGGGGCAGATTTTTTACATTCAAATCTTAGCTCTTATTCAGAAACTTGAGGGACTATTGAAATAAGTAAAGTATCAGAATGTAGGAAAGAGTTAACACTCCAACAGGGTCAAGTTAAACCTGTGATATTCTTTCAAGTTGTTGACAAAAAATTTAAAAAACTCATGTCGGTAACGGAGGGAATGAAATATGCAGCACTTTTTGGGCAATAAATACAAACAGTGATAACTAGTGGTTCTCACTTACATATCCTTAACAAACTGGTTTGAATATTTGCTTCATATAGTTTTCTACCATATGGTACAAGATTAGGTTGAAAAACCTCTTACTTTTTGAGTAATGAGATTTTTTATTAAGAAAGGTCATGGTAACGGAGGGAAAAGTAACAGAGGGAAAATTGTGAAAACATAATTTGTCGCTTTTTTCTTCTGAATACTTTAATATTTCTTCAAAATGAAAGTCAGTCCTTCCAAGCAAATTTTTATCATTTTAAAGACATTTTTTTTTGAAAATCATGTACCTTCATCAACATTTCAAAGATTGAACAACACAAGATATGATAAAATACATACATTTATTTACATGATTTTCAGGTTTTTGAAATTTGGGAAATAATTTTTGTTCCATGTTTCATACATGGTCTGTTTAAAACATATGTAACTTTAGAACCAAAAATGGTACAGAAAAAATGTAAACAGTTTCATAAACTAGAGTACATATGTATCTGTTGAATACATTTTTATATCATTTTAACTTGAATTTTTGGCCTTGCTGTTTACTTCTGCTTGACCGGGCCCATAAATATAATTTTTAATTGAAAAAAATCAGCAGACATGTTATTATTTACCAAAAAGTAATGAGGATTGTCTCATAGGGCCAGTTCAAGTGTTGGGGGGCAGAGGGGCTGGGGGCCGGTCAAAGGCGGCGTGGAGGGCCGGATTCAGCCCGCAGGCCTTAGTTTGATGACCCCTGGGTTAACAGTTGTAATCATGACACTTGGTAATACTGGTAAAATAGACTTGAACACATTTAACCTCTACTACTCACTCATGTGCCTTGATTCACGGTACCCAAGCGCCCTCTGCTGGCTGCATTTAGTTTTGACAGTGACTTGTTTTCACTTCAGTTCAGTTCAGTCTTTATTAAGAAAGCGTAAGTAAGTGTATAAAAATAAGAAAAATACAAATTTAAATACACAATGCATGTTATAATGTAAAAAGACAAGATGGTCAATGTCTCCACAGCTTCAGATCTGTTCAAATTCATGACTCTAAACATAAAAAATAAACACAATATCTAATTCTGACAACACAGGGTCTCACGCTACAGTTTCTCGTCTGTGTTTACTGGAGAAAGGGGCTTTTTGACCCCAGGTTGGTGGGCTGAAGTCCTGCTGTGACACGTTCATCTGCAGTTATACTTAAAGACAAATACCAAACCAACAAGGCTGCGCTCAACCTCCAACTTAACTACACTATTTAAACCAGTTTTACACGTTTTAATGCAAAGACGCGTTTTTTTTTCTCCAATGTGTCCAGAAAATAGTCACACTCTGCTCCTCACCTGACGCTTCTCTGCTCTGTTCACCAGAGACCACCTGGATTTTAAGCAAAGGTAGGTTCAGTCATTCTGTGTTACTGGTACAAAAATGCATAGTTTATATGTGTACTATATGTTTAACAAATGCTCTATCTCAGACATGTCAAACTCAGGCCAGGGGTCCAAATTCGGGCCACAATATAAATATATTTGTTGCGTGAGCTCATATCAAATATGCATTAGAGCTGCCCACCGGCTGCCACGCCAGTATAACTCATGCACCACTAATACTACTAATACTACTAATACTACTACTGCTACTACTACTTTGATGAACTTGTATCTAAGAGGAGATGAAGAGAGTATTTGTTTCTGCTTTGGATCCATGTGTATCAGAGTAAATGATAGTCTAGCAAACTGAGCTTAGATTAATGTTTTCTTTATGATTTTTGTTCATAGTTGAAAGATTGGAATTTCATTGAAGGAAGTCGTTATTTTTGGTGTTCAAAAGCTACAGATAGGCTATAGAGACATTATTTATTTAAAATTTTGTTATTATTTTATATTATGTTTGTTCTGGATTCAATGTTTAAGCAAAACTATTATTAAACATTTATTTTAATAAGAAAAGGTTTAACATTACATACCTTGAAAGAAGAGAAAACATGCAGATGTTGCTGAAATTTTTCAATAAATATTTAGTTTTACCCATGACTTGGTCCCAGGTTTTAATTTTGGCCGTCTGTGAATTTGAGTTTGACACCCCTGGAAATAATTTGTTAATATGTTTATAGATGAAACTGTATTCAAATGTTTATTTTGACACTATGGTGTAGTGACAAAAAATGAATTATGATCTTATCCCCTTCTGCTATTTTGGTTGTTGTGACTCACTTTTTTTCACAGTGCTTGAGTGGATGGCGTTCATGTCTCACAACAAGGAGGTTCGGGGTTTGATATTTGCGTCTTTCTCTCTTTGTCTGAGCATTCCTGTTTCCCCTCATTAACCCAAAACATGTGGATAAATTTGCTCAGTAGCACTGAAGGATGAAGGTTTGTTTTTGTGTGTCAAAAGACAAGATGGAACTACATTTAATGCGGCATTGTTTTTTAAAAAAAAATATTGTTCTTTATGTTTTATTTTGCCTATACACTCCCTCAAAATTATACACAGGAATTCAAATTAAAACCTGTAGTACAAAGTATTTCAAAATAATGAAATTCAAATGAATATTATACAATTGCTAAATGAATATAACAACAAAAAACAGTATAGTCATTTAAATCAATAATATAAAGTCTAATAAATGAATATGATAACAAAAAAGAATGAAATAATGTACATAAGAAGTATGCAAGATCAAAAGAATCGAAAGGGGGCCAAGAAATTAGAAATAAAAAAATATATATTTTTGAGAAAGAAAACCATAAGTAAGGACATGTGGTAGTATGGAAACATGTAAGGATTGTTTATTTGTAATTATTAATATATGTGGTCAAGAAAATTTAAAATTAAATTACAAAAAAAAACAAAAAAAAAAAAGCATTAAAGGATGGGTCAAATGCAGAGGATAATAAACTGTGCCTTAACTTTATAAACTTGTCTTTTCGTGTGCATTGTTGGGTTTTTTAGACGTGCCCAGTGGATTGGTCTTTGTTACTTTTGGATTTGACATGTTTATTTGGATGTTTTAAGACAGTCAAAATATGTAAACAATAGCATTTACATGTGACACTGTTGCTAGGGGGCCTTAGCAACCAGGTGTCTCGTCAAATGAAATCATGGAGCAGTACTTCCGGTTTTGAACATTCACAATAAAATTAGAGACGTAGATTTTTAACAATTAAAAAGGACTGGATGTCCATAGATCATGACTTTTTGCCACAGTGTGTACATAAGTGAACCAATAAGGAAATGCTACCACAAGTGAATCAGAAAAACTGGATTCTGGTTTTTGCGAGAGCAGTTTGGAGTTTTATTTTGAAAACTATAATTTCTGGAAAATTTCTCACTGTCTACAATCATAGATATGTTTGCTTGGTTTCAGATGACGCAACAGCATTTCATTGGACAATATTAATTAATACGGAAATTAACTAAAACATAAGTTTTGACTGGTACTGTATATATAATGTGTGATTTGGTTTGCAGTGCTTTTCAAGTTTTTTTTTTTGTTGTTTTTTTTTGCAAATAAAATCCCTGTTAAAATATACATAAATTTAACCTTGTGCACCTTAAATTAGTCTACGAAATATTCAGTAAGCTTATGTCATTTTAAGATTACAACACTATAGAGTTTTTTATGGGCACTAAAAATGCAGTGTGCTCTGTCTGTTCTGACTCATTGTCTCTGCTGGTTCCTGTGGGCACAAGTCCAAAGGGCGGATCCTGCTCCTCCTCAGCTCTGCCCACACAGGTCTCACTCTTCTTTCTGTAAAACTGAAACATCATTTGCTTTTTCATCTGGAGCAGAAATGGAGCAGGGTGCTGTTCAGCTCAACAGACAGGCCTTTGTCTGTGCCATATGTTTGGATCTGCTGAAGGAGCCGGTCACTCTTCCATGTGGACATAACTACTGTAGAGTCTGTATTCAGAGCCACTGGGACCGACAGGTGCAGTGCACCTGTCCTCAGTGTAGACAGGTGCACAGCCCCAGACCTGTGCTCCATGTAAACACCATGGTGGCAGAGTTAGTGGAGCAGATGAGGACTGAATTCCTGTACAACACAATGGACCCGGAGACTTGGAGGCAGCAGATCTTGCACAGCATTCAGGTCAAAGAGGCAGAGCAGCAGAGGCTCCAGCAGGAGGCGCTGTCCCTGAGGCATCTTGCTGATGAGGCAATTAAACACAGCGAGGAGCGCTTCAGTTCGTTTGTGCGTGTGCTGGAATCTGTTCACTGTGACGTGTCCCAAAATATCAGGACTCTGCAGGAGAAAGAAGAGGCCAAAATGAAACAGATCCATGACCAACTGGTGCAGGAGGTCACAGAGCTGAAGAAAACCCTCTCAGCTCCAGAGATGCTTCAGAGACACCTCCCTCCCTCTGCCTCACAGACATACTCACTGCCCCTGGGGTACTTTGAGCAGGCCAAATCAGCGGTGACCGCCCTCACAGACCTGCTCCAGTCAACTCTGACAGAGGGACTACAAAACATATCACAGGGTTTTACACAAGGCCAACCATCAACCAGACCTCAACCAGGACCTCCACAACCTGAGCCCAGAACCAGAGAAGAGTTTATGAACTATGCACGAGAGATTGTCCTGGACCCAAACACAGCTTACTTTATGATAACAGTATCCAATGAAAACAGACAAGCAACTAGGGACTGTGGTCGTGGTCAGGACCATCCCAATCACCCAGACAGGTTCAGTAAGTACAATCAGGTCCTGAGCAGAGATGGTCTGACAGGCTGCTGTTACTGGGAGGTGGAGGTGGAAAAATATCAAGCTGTTATTGCAGTGTCTTACAAGGACATCAAGAGAAATGGATATTCAGATGATTGTAAATTTGGATACAATGAGAAGTCCTGGGCTTTAGAATGTAAAATATATGATTTTTCCTTTTGGCATCAGAGCGTTGAATCAGAAGTATCACGCTCAGTTTCAAAAAGAATTGGGGTTTACCTGGACCACAGTGCAGGGATTTTAGCCTTTTACAACATTGAGGACCAAACCATGAGCCTCATTCACAGAGTCCAGACCACCTTCACTCAGCCTCTGTATGTTGGAGTCAGACTGGATCACCGTTATGACACTGCCTATTTCCCTAAACTCAGATAAACTGAGATTCAATTTGAGCACCTTATTTTGAAGGACTCTCTTTGTATTGAGTTTAACCTGTGCTGTCTCTAAACTTTCCATAAATGCAACACTTAAGATACATTGGCAGAATTCTGTATATTATTATACAGATTTTTTCATATTCATATAACATTTCATTGTCTGAAAAAAATAAGTGGTGACGCAGGAAAACATCAACAAACAAAATTGTTCTTTTTGGACTAAAGAGCCTGACACTGTAAACTAAAAAAGTAAAACTAAATGTCTCGTTTATATCTTTACCATCCATTCTTCAACTTTAAATGTCAGCTGGTAAATTATTTGATAATTGATTAATTAAAATCACTGCTTTCAAGAACCAAAGTTGCCCTGTTTATGTTATGCTCATTATTTTTTTTCTCCAAACACATGCTGCTGTGATGTATACATGTTTATATTTATTTTATGTATATTTTTCTCTATATTTTAACTGTTTGAGAGGAAGAAGTTCAGTTATCCCCATGTAGCCCTATTGTATGGAGGTTAAAGTGAAAGCATCAACTTTCTTACTCTTCCTTGAGTTGAATTTTATTAAACTTCTATTATCATTTTTGAAAAAAATTAAAAAATTTAAAAAGTGCACTATGCAACCTGGTAGAGGTATGCTACCAGGTCTTTCAGAGATGTTATTATATATATGTTATATGTTATATATTGTCCTGTTTTGTTTCATGTTGATTCTGATCATTGTTTTGCCTGGAATATTCCATGGTATATCATTAAATTTATCTGTGAGTGGGCTCACCTCTCTAGTGATCTGACCTGGAACGTGGCCTGATGGCATCAGCTGCTTGTCTCTAACTGGTAAATTTCTCTAATACAAAACAACGTGGTGTGATTCTTGCAATAACCTGAAATTGCTTTAGTAACTGATCTCAAAAATAGGATTTGACTTTGGTCAAATTTTTGGTCAAAATCAGTGTGTTTTCTTCATCATTTAAAATCCTAATAACATAATAGATCATAACTATACATCAGAAACAAGCACAATATGTCTTCTTTAACCTTAGTGGGATTATTAAGTGTCAAACCTGTAATATTAATGTCATAATAATGAGAAGAAACGTCATCAAAATACAACATATGTAGACGGGAGGCAATATGAGGCCAAAACCAGAGCAGAGTTTATGAACTATGCATGAGAGATCATCCTGGACCCAAACACAGCTCACCATTTGATGACACTATCCAGAGGAAACAGGCGAGCAAGTAGGTCCAATTGTTTTATATGGATACACCCAGCAATTCCAGAGTTATTTAACCATAAACCAGGTCGACAAATCTGTAATCTATCTGACAGTAAAACAGCAAAGTCCATCATAGAATTCTGATAAGAACCATTCCAACACTACATATAGGCTAACGCAGGGGTCAACAAACTTTTTTTTCTCTGTTGGCCACATTATTGCTCCTGACTGTGATGGGGGGGCCATATAACAGAATTGTTTGACTCACAGATTATCTTCTCTGAAAACCGCCACACTTTCTTTACATTTCAGACAAACTGCACAGTCCTTACACTGAACAAAAAAATAATCGGTCGTCCACTGTTCTTTAAAAACTCGGCGCTCTCTGTCAACTTTCTGTACTTTAACACTTGCCATTTTTCTGTCCTTTACTGCACTACAGAACTCTGCACGTGTGTATTGACTGTCACTGTTTGATCTCGAGCTTGTCACGTGACGAAAATTTGGCGGCAAATGTAAATACGTCATATAATTATTTTAAATATAACAATAAATACTTCATATAAATATCATTTTTTAATTGAAAAAATCAGCAGACATGTTATTATTTGCCAAAAAGTAATAAGAAAAAACAGGCCATGACATTTTTTGAGGATTGTCTCATAGGGCCAGTTCAAGTGTTGGGGGACAGAGGGGCTGGGGGCCCGTCAAAGGCGGCGTGGAGGGCCGGATTCAGCCCGCGGGCCTTAGTTTGATGACCCCTGGGTTAACAGTTGTAATCATGACACTTGGTAATACTGGTAAAATAGACTTGAACACATTTAACCTCTACTACTCAAACATGTGCCTTAATTGACGGTACCCAAGCGCCCTCTGCTGGCTGCATTTAGTTTTGACAGTGGCTTGTTTTCACTTCAGTTCAATTCAGTTCAGTATCTATTATTATCTAATTCAGAGTAAGTAAGTGTATAAAAATAAGAAAAATACAAATTTAAATACACAATGCATGTTAAAATGTAAAAAGACAAGATGGTCAATGTCTCCACAGCTTCAGATCTGTTCAAATTCATGACTCTAAACATAAAAAATAAACACAATATCTAATTCTGACAACACAGGGTCTCACATCACAGTTTCTCGTCTGTGTTTCCTGGAGAAAGGGGCTTTTTGACCCCAGGTTGGTGGGCTGAAGTCCTGCTGTGACACGTTCATCTGCAGTTATACTTAAAGACAAATACCAAACCAACAAGGCTGCGCTAAACCTCCAACTTAACTACACTATTTAAACCAGTTTTACACGTTTTTAAGCAAAGACGCGTTTTTTTTTTTCTCCAATGTGTCCAGAAAATAGTCACACTCTGCTCCTCACCTGACGCTTCTCTGCTCTGTTCACCAAAGACCACCTGGATTTTAAGCACAGGTAGGTTCAGCCGTTCTGGTACAAAAATGTGTACTAAAACTACTACTAATACTACTACTTTGATGAATTTATATCTAAGAAGAGATGAAGAGAGTATTTGTTTCTGCTCCATGTGTATCAGAGTAAATCATGTGAGCTTAGATTAATGTTTTCTTTATGATTTTTGACTGTACATAATTTAAAGATTGGATTTTCATTGAAGTAAGTTGTTATTTTTGACTGGTTGTTGACCTGTGGAAAAAAACAACAACAACAATTTAAGAGGAGTTCAAAAGCTGCAGATCGGCTATAGAGACATTATTTATTTAAAATTGTATTATTATTTTATATTTTGCTTGTTCTGGATTCAATGTTTAAGTAAAATTATTATTAAACATTTATTTTAATAAGAAAAGGTTTAAAGGTTTAACATTACATATCTCGAAAGAAGAGAAAACATGCAGATTTTGCTGAAATTTTTCAATAAATCTTTAGTTTGGCCCATGACTTAGTAAGGACATGTGGTAGTATGAAAACATGTAAGGATTGTTTATTTCTAATTATTAAAACACGTGGTCAAGAAAATAAAAAATAAAATTACAAAAAAAAAAAAAAAGCATTGAAGGATGGGTCAAATGCAGAGGATAATAAACTGTGCCTTAACTTTACAAACTTGTCTTTTCATGTGCATTGTCCGTATCAGATTATCAAACTCATCAACATTCCCTGGGGGCTGGGGGTGTGATGCTAACTGTAGGCACTGCTCCGTCTGGGATTACTGTTAGAATTTAAGGTTCTGTTTACACGAGAACGCTTGCGAGTAAAAACAACAAAATAGTTAAATAGTTAAACAAATAGTTAAATTCATCCATCATGCTTGGCTAAAATCACAATAAATATTCTATTATATACACACACAAAAAAAAACACAAACGCACTAAAATTTAAAGATAAATAGATTACAACTTAGTCATAAGTACGACAGCAGCTGGAACAAAGCTCCTTTTAAAATGATTCGTTCTAGATCTTGGGACTAAAAGCCTCTGACCAGTAGTCAGGCTGGCACCACCTTGTGCCTCCGCTCAATTTCATTTCCCACCAGCGATTAGGTCAGGAATCAGAATACAATGGATGGTTCGCAAAAGTGGAAGTGCGAGTTCGGGCTCCAGCCAATCTGCAAAGAGCCGTACATTCAGTGTTGTCAACGATTCCTGATATCGAGGATTTAAAGCCTGAACGACGAGAATGTTCGGTGAATTTTATCAAAACAGAAAGACGTTATTGCCCTTCTTCCTACGGGATTTGGGAAAAGCTTAATATACCAGTTAACCCCGTTGGTGGTGCGTCACGACCAAATAGCAGAGACTGACTAAATTATAAAAAGAACCCGCCTACTATCGAGCAAATGAATTCTAACACTGCGAGGTCAGACGGTTTGTATGAAATGAAACCGGCTGATGAATCGGGCTGTCTGACCAGAGGGAAGCAGCTGATACACTTAATTTAGTGGATGCTGCACATCTTTTAAAATACTTTGCGATGTCCTCTGTAACTGTCTTGAGTACAGAGAGTCCAGGAGGAGGTACAATCACCTCCTCACCCATTTAACCAACTGATTCAGGGAGTTCTTGTTTTTTTAGCAGAAACGCTCAAAAACAATGAGACCAATGAAAAAGTTCAAACTGATTCCATAAACGTTTTATAGAACAGTGTCATCATGGTTCTGTCTACACCGTAAAAGGTCAATTTCCTCAGATGATAAAGGCGCTGGTGGCCTTTTTTTACACACAGCAGTACAATTATCATCAAAGCTTAAATTTGACACACAACTCTCACACTCAACTGACTGCTTCTTTATATATATAACGTCATTCTGATGCAATTAATCCTTGACACTGGTCACTTGTTCCCTGACAGACACTGCCTGGGTGAGAGACGGACCACTTCTTCATCATCAACAGCCCAAAGACGAGAAAAAGAAGTACCAAGGCAACGAAACCATGCAACCCGACCTCAAATCCGGAGCCGACTTCATAAAACACTCCCAGGAAATCACCCTGGACCCAAACACAGCTCACCGTCTGATTTTCCTGTCCGGAGAAAACCGACGAGCAACACTCTCACGGCAAAACCAAAACTATCCTGAACATTTGGACAGATTCACCGATTTCTACCAGGTTTTGAGTAAGGAGAGTTTGACGGGCCGCTGTTACTGGGAGGTGGAGTGGAGCGGGTACGGGGTTGCAATAGCAGTGTCATACGGGAATATAAAGAGAAAAGGCCGCTCAGATGACTGCGTTTTTGGACACAACGAGAATTCCTGGGCATTAGATTGCGATAACATTGATGGATTTTCTTTCTGGTTTGACAAATCGCGCACACAGGTCTCGGGTCCGGTTGGGTCTAGGATTGGGGTTTACCTGGACCACAGCTCAGGACTTTTGGACTTTTATAACGTTCAAGACAAAACCATGACACTCCTCCACAGAGTCCAGACAGCCTTCACTCAGCCGCTCTACGCTGGAATCTGGTTCAACTGGGATTTCAAAGATTCTGTTCACTTTCCTAAACTTTAAAGCCGCACTGTGCAGCATTTCTGGTGAAAGAGGTTAATGCTTTGCTCAGAACGTTCCACAGTGTGACATTAAAACTAGAGGTTGGTGAAGACGCCAAAAACTGTACTAAAGTAACGCTACTGCACAATAATCACTCAAGTAGAAGTACAAAATAGTGGTCCAAGAAATGACTGAAGAAGAGTAAAAAAAATCATTATCAGGATTATTTTGGTCGATATTGAAATCACGATTATTCAAACGATTAATTTTTAGTTACACTATGCATTTATTCAGCATTTCTCTCTCAAAAAACACTTTGTTATTTATAATTTAGGCAAAACTTTCAAATTGAAAATAAATAGAGGGCACAAATATGAACCTTAGAGCAGTTTTGCGATGTGTAAAACAAAAAATTATTAAAATATACTTGAATGAACATGAAATAAGGCATAAAAATCATAAATGTGTTCAACATAAACTATATATCCAGCTGTTCTACAATCTCTATATTTAAAAAATAAAATAAATATAATTATTTATATAAAAATGTCCCCAAATAAACTTTGTTAAGCTTTATCGTTTCAATTTGAATATATGAGTCTCAAGATCGTTTGAAACACAAATCGAAATTTCAATTAAAATTCAATTAATTGCACAGCCTTAAGTAAGAGTAAATTAAAGATGTTGGGACGTAACATCTGAGTTATAAATTGTGGATCATAAATCTCAATGGGAAAACATAAAATAATGCACAAAATCTGGTATTTTCAAATGACAGACAAAAAATTTGAAAAACTAAATCATACATTGCAAAAAACTAAATCTAGTCAAGTTAAGATGGCTTGAATTAAGAAAGTTTTATCACGATTTGACTCAATTTCACTTGGCAAGTAAAATGATCTTCCAATGGAATAAGACTTTCTGTGCTTAAAATATGAAAATACATCTGGCTACACTTAAAATAAGAAAAACAACTTTTAGCACTTAAAATAAGAAACAAAATTGAATGTTGCTTTAATTAAGATAAACACACTTATTCCACTGTTGGATAATTTTACTTGTCAAGTTGAATCTACTCAAATAAAGTCAAATGTTCTTAATTTAAGTCATTTTAATTTAACTAGATATTGTTTTTTTCCAGTGTACCTGAAGGAGCAGACACAAATGTTCAAAGCATTTCATATTATCAAAGCTTATTAAATATGACTCAAGTAGCAGTAAAGTATGCTGCTAGAAAATTACTCTGAAAAGTACTATTTCTTTCAAAAGTTTCTCAAGTATATTTATATTTATTTCAATGGAGAGAAACCAGGGACGCTACCAGGCCAAGTTCCTGGTTCATCTGTGGAAAGGTGACCCTGAGAATGTAGGTTTTTCAAGGTACGTTTGAGCAACAAAACGCCCATAATTAAATGAATGCTTGAGTGATAAGTTTAATGCCATATGAGGGAACATTCTGGCCAAAGCAATAAGATGGAGACAAGTGGCAGAGCAAGTATATTTGTACAGCAGAATTCGTACACAAAGTCATTTAAAGTGCAAACAGGAAAATTGCAGTACACCTTTCTTTGAACAGGAGGATTATAGACCTGGTTTAGACCTGTTTAAGACCTTGTTGGGATCTGGTTTAGACCTGTTTAAGACCTATATAGTTTCTGATCACACTTGAACACACACCACATCACAAATAAGGACTAAACTGAGACTGAACACACAAGTAAACCTGGACTGGACTAGACTAGAACTAAACAGGGACTAGAACCAGATCAAACTAGGCCTACATAGAACTAAACTGGGCTCAGACCCGGACCAAATCAGAACCAGTGTGAATGCGTCCCATGTTAGGAGCTGGTTTAGAGCTGGTTTATGAACATTACCCTGCATCATTCATAAAAATATAAACCAATAGATAATTTAAATGTGCCCAAGTTCTGGTTTATCAATTATTTATTTAAAGTGGTGTGATTTCTGAGGTGGAAGTTTATGTTATTACCTAATTTATTTAATATAAAAGCCACTTACAGGGACAATATAAGCAACAAAGCATGAATTATAATTTTGCATGAGAATAATATAACGGTTTCATCATATAAATTTATATATTTTCTATTATTATTATTAGTATTAGTAGTAGTTGTGGTAGTAGAAGCAGTAGTAGTACTAGTAGTAGTAGTAGTATATTTAATAAGTTTATTTGGTCACACTGTCTGTTCAAATGTAACAGTTTGTCTAATATTAATTTATGAGTTTTACTTTTGTTTAATATTGTAATTTAAGAAAATAATTAAAATAAAAGCTCAAAATGTGCATGGTGGAATTCTTGCTAAATAATTGTATTCTTATGGTATATACAATTGTATTTTTTTAATCAATATTTTTGTAAACATTTTTGGTCAGTTAGCCTTTGTTTTATTTATAGTTTCATCTGAATATACCACAGGTGAGTGTGTAAAACGTACACCAGACATGTCAAACTCAGGCCCGGGGGCTAAATTTGGCCCGTGATATAATTATATTTGGCCCGTGAGATCATATCAAATATGTATTAGAGACTGGTCTGCTCACTACAGATAGATTTTTCAATAAATATTTAGTTTAATCCAAGACTTAGTCCCAGTTTTTAATTTTGGCCTCTGTGTATTTGAGGTTAACACCTGTGATGTACACCATTGTTTCCCAAAGACTGAATTGCAACCCTGCATGTAGGTCTGAAATATACAGTTCTGACACATGAGATTTTCTGTGCTCACAAAAATGAAGACAAAGCACAGAAACAGACTGAACACTGCATCTGATTTGCTGCTGCATCTCCTCCTGCACCCGGAACACACTGCGAAAACACAGACAGACCCACCTATCTCATTAGAAATGTTGAAGTGTTAAGACATGTTTTGTATCATTTCTAATCTTTAAATAATTATTTTATTGACCATTTTGTTCCAGTATTGCTGGTTCAATTGAATGTTGAAAAGAAAAAGAAATGGGCTACATTTAATGTCCAAATAGGCGTCTTATGTATCCTTTTATTGCTGCTTCAATTACTGTTTTTCATTGTTTAAAAATTGAGTAATACTAATTGTTCAGAGACACGATCACTCAGTCAACAATAAAATATCCTCATTAATGTTCAATAATCCACCTTTATTTTGTGATTTGCGAATAATGTCTTTTGTCTTGTTCATGAAGGTTTGTGACTTTTAAAATACGGGTCCCTAGAAAAAAAGTTTGGGAAACACATATTGCGTTTCTTTCTGATCTGTTATAATGTTCTTTCCTTGTCAAAATCAGACCTGGAGTTGTATTTTGTTTCATTCACACATATTTAACACACAAACCTTGCTGTGTATCTAGGCTGAGTTCTTCTCTCAAACAGAAAACACTCCACCTTGTGATGTCATGTGGTAATACAAGAAGTGCTCCACTGTTTTTTTAAACTCTATACACCTTCACTACAAACATTTGGATGATTTTAGCCCTGGATTTGTTGATCTCTACTGAACTAAAGGTAAAAGGAGCTGTTAACTTGAAAATTACAACTTCATGAAAAAGAGCATTTTAGAACATGAGCGTTTTGGAGATCTAGACAGACCAGAGGTGGGACCAAGTCTCAAGTCCGAGTCAGGTCCCAAGTCAAGTGCAGGCAAGTCCAAGTCGAGTCTCGAGTCACTGGTCCATAAGTTCAAGTCAAGTCCAAGTCGTCTGCTTTGAGCTTCAAGTCATTTCAAGTCTTTAAACTGAAGTACCAAATATATACCTTAGATTTTTGCAATTTATATGAATTTTAAACTAAATTATATTTTAAAAGTCATGGTATATTTATATATGAGTATTTATAGAGTATATAAGAGTTGTACAAATATAAATTTTTCCTTTTTAAATGTCTTGACAAGATCTTAATGTGAATCTTTATGGTCAGAAAAGAAAGAATTCAGATTTAAAAGTGCTTCTCAAGTTTTCTCAAATCACAGGCCTCAAGTCCTAGTCAAATCCCGAGTCATTAACCTTCAAGTCCAAGTTGAGTCCCAAGTCTTAGTCCATTTTATCAAGTCAAGTCTCAAGTCCTAAAAATAGTGACTCAAGTCTGACTCGAGTCAAAGTCACAACTTGCAAGATAAAGTGTTACTCAAACACGTGTGAATGAAATAAAACACTCCAGGTCTGTTTTGGGTGAGTTCACATTTTAACAAAGCTTAAATCTCACGGGAGTTTTTCGTAATATAAAACCTTTAAGCCTAACACGAACAGCCCTACTTTATGGCTATAATGAAAGTAGCCTATTAATGAATTATAATAATAGGCAGATGAGAATAGGCTTTCTTAAAACTGAGGCTTGCAATTAAATTTGTTGCAGCCAATTGGACGAACCTGGCCGCTTGGTGAGAACGCGTCACGCTTATAAAACGCTCATTACTCCGCGTTTTCACCCGTGCGCAAATTAAACCCAGACTTTTATCTCGTTTGACTCGGTCCTCCTGAGCTCTGAGTGGTGCTGTCTCCTCTGTCACTGCGTCTTCTGCCTCTTCTCCGGCAACAGCAGCAGCAGCGGACTCTCCGGGCCCAGGCAGCCGCTTCACAGTGACCGAGAGCCGGGCACCGTCCCTGAGCCGACCCGCTGCAGCGATCGTGCGCCCGGCCCAGCGAGAACCAGACGCGCAGGAGACGGGCGGGGGGGAGAAACGTGACCAGGGCAGAGCTAAACCCAAGGCCGGCTTATGGTGATCCTACCCGGGGCCTGCGTCGCTGTGGACCTGGGTGTTTTGGCTGCGAGCGTGTGGCTGGAGACTCGGGAGCGGAGACCGTGGGGAAGCGGTGACGCGCACTTGCCGAGGAGCGCCGTCAGACGAGGAAGTCGAGCGGGCTTTCAAACACGCCCATTTTTTGCAGCCCGTGGTGTCGACCCCGCTGAAAAACGAGACCTGGTTCATCACGTAGCGTAGCGAGCTGCGGGGGACGCGGACAGACATGCAGCCCGTTTCTGATGGCGCGCGGCGGGATTAACGTGGACCACACAAGGCCCCTTTGCGCAGGTACGTCCTCCCCCTCCACCACCTCCTCCTCCTCTTCCTCCCTTCCTCCCCCAGCACCATCCCCGGTCCAGTGTCGCGTTCTGAGCGGCTCCGCGGGACTCCATGAAGGCCTGTCTGCGCCGTGTTTATGCGCTGGTGATGTACATATGGTAGCGTGCAGTTTAAGGGGGGAGAACCCGAGACGTACAGATGCCAACATCCGTCCCCGCACGCACCTGCTACTGAAAACGTGGCTTCGTCGATCATCACATACATAACGAAACAAGCAGACACCCCAAACACACTGATGTTTTTTTAGCCATATTTTAGCTCCAGCTTCCAACCTGAGCAACCTGTGTCTTTATTACAGCCGTACAAAGGTAGTTTATAACGAGAAACGCCCGCTGGAAATGGTTACGTACGCAAAAAATGACAAAATTTCTGTGTTAAAGCTTCACTATGTAACTTTTCTAGTGGGGAATTCGCAGCGTGCTCGACTTACTGGAGATGTTACTGGTCTCCCGGGCTCGGATGTTCCACCGTATTTTACTCATCTATCTCCATGGAGACGAGCAGGTAACACGTTACCAGTCAGATCTGCGGAGAGGCGAGCTGCTCAGAGTTAGAATGTTTTTTTGAGATAGTTTTCGAGCAGTAAAAATACCTGGAATTACACGATAAATATAGTTGATGCCAAAGTGTGGGACTGTACTAGTCCGGGCAAAACAACAACATCACCATGGAGATGAGCAGGTAATGCATTACTGGTCAGATCTGCGTAAAGGTGAGCAGCTCACAGTCAGAACGTAAAAATACCTAGATTTACATAAACCATATGTGGTACAGTCCGGTACAATCTGTGCAAAACAACAACATTGCCATGGAAACGAGCAGGCAACACCATCAGGATTATGCGTTACTGGTTAAATCTACGGAGAGGCAAGCTGCTCAGAGTTTATTTATTACAGCCGTGTTAAGGGAGTTTACACCGAGAAACGTCCGCTGGAAATGGTTACGTACGCAAAAAATGACCAAATTTCTGTGTTAAAGCTTCGCTATGTAACTTTTCTAGTGGGGAATTGGCAGCGTGCTTGACTCACTGGAGATGTTACTGGTCTCCCGGGCTCGGATGTTCCGCCGTATTTTACTCATCTATCTCCATGGAGAGGAGCAGGTAAAGCATTACCGGTCAGATCTGCGAAGAGGCGAGCTGCTCAGAGTTAGAACGTTTTTTTGAGATAGTTTTCGAGCAGTAAAAATACCTGGAATTACCTAAATGATAAATATAGTTGATGCCAAAGTGTGGGACAGTCTGGGTAAAACAACAACAACAGCATCACCATGGAGACAAGCAGGTAATGCATTACTGGTCAGATCTGCGAAGAGGCGAGCTGCTCATGGTTAGAACGTTTTTTTAAGATAGTTTTCGAGCAGTAAAAAATACCTACAATTATATAAACGATAAATACAGTTGATGCCATAGTGTGGGACAGTTCGGACAAAACAACAACAACAACATCACCATGGAGACGAGCAGGTAACACATTACCGGTCAGATCTGCGAAGAGGCGAGGTGTTCACGGTTAGAAGGTTTTTTAAGACAGTTTTCGAGCAGTAAAAAATACCTACATTTATATAAACGATAAATACAGCTGATGCCAAAGTGTGGGACTGTACTAGTCCTGGCAAAACAACACAATATCACCATGGAGACGACTAGTCAGATCTGCGAAAAGGTGAGCAGCTCACCGTCAGAACGTAAAAATACCTAGATTTACATAAACCATATGTGGTACAGTCCGGGACAGTCTGTGCAAAACAACAACATCGCCATGGAAACGAGCAGGCAACACCACCAGGATTATGCGTTACTGGTTAAATCTACGGAGAGGCGAGCTGCTCACGGTTAGAACGTTTTTCAAGATATTTTAACTTTTAACGTTTTTCAAGATAGTTTTCGAGCAGTAAAAATACCGGTAATTACATAAACGATAAATACAGTTGATGCCAAAGTGTGGGACTGTACTAGTCCTGGCAAAACAACAACATCACCATGGAGACGAGCAGGTAACGTATTACTGGTCTAAAATGTATTTCAAGATAGTTTTCGAGCAATAAAAAATACCTACAGTTACATAAACCATGTGTGTACAGTTGGGACAGTCCGCTCAAAACAAAAACATCACCATGGAGACAAGCAGGTAACGCCACCAGGATTACGCATTACTGCCCAGTCAGATCTGCGAAGAGGCGAGCTGCTCATTGTTAAAATGATTTTCAGGATAGTTTTTGAGCAGTAAAAATACCTACAATTTCATAAATGATAAATACAGCTTGGGACAGTACGGGCAACAAAACAACATCACCATGGAGACGAGCAGGTGACACCACCAGGATTATGCATTACTGGTCAGATCTGCGGAGAGGCGAGCTCCTCACAGTCAGAATGTTTTTCAAGATAGTTTTTGAGCAATAAAAATACCTACAATTACATAGACGATAAATACAGCTGATGCATAGTGTGGACAGTCCGGGCAAAACAACAACAACACCATGGGGACGAGCAGGTAAGCAGGAGTGTCAAACTCACTTTGGTCCGGGGGCCGTATCCAACCTACTTTGATCCCAAAGGGGCCGGATCAGAAAACTCTTGTCATATAAACCCCAAAAATAACAATAAGTTCAAATATTTGTGCAGACAGAACAGAATCTTTTTTAATTGATGAACTCTTTCTTTTACAAAATACTATAATATCATGAACAACCTGAAACTTTAAGAAAAATGCAATTTCAACACAATGTTTTAACATGAACTTGTATGCAAATAGTAGTAAGTCAATTTTTCTTGGGAAATCCTGCACTTGGCTCCACTTTTCTCATTTTTTACATTTTGCTGATGAGGGTGTCATGGTCAACAGTCAAATAGATCGTCCTTTAAGAGCATTTGTAAAGAGCCAAGTCTTCATTTGTGCTGCTCTGGTGGGAGGGGCCACGCACAGAGGCGCTGGAGAGGCTGCTATGATAAACACCGCAGAAAATTACCAATATTTTAATAGAAAATATAATTCAAATATTTTAGTAGAAAATCAGCTGAGGGCCAGATTAAAGGTCTTGGAGGGCCAGATCTGGCCCCCGGGCCGTATGTTTGACACCTGTGAGGTAATGCATTACTGGTCAGATCTGCGGAGAGGCAAGCTGCTCAGAGTTAGAACGTTTTTCAAGATAGTTTTCGAGCAGTAAAAATACCTGGAATTACATAAATGATAAATGCAGCTTGGGACAGCCCGGGCAAAACAACAACATCACCATGGAGACAAGCAGGCAGTGCCACCAGGATTACGCATTACTGGTTAAATCTGCGGAGAGGCGAGCTGCTCACAGTTAGAATGTTTTCCAAGACAGTACAGGCAAAACAAAAACATCACCATGGAGACAGTCAAATGGTCAAACCAAGAACCAGAAAAGTTACATACTGCACCTTTAGAGCATGGCATTGTACATTGTTAACTTTTATTAGCCTGTATTTTACTCGTCCTTTCAAAAGTTGTATTGTACATTTTAAAAACAAATATTGGACACTTAAAACTTCGATTTTGATATTAAGGAATTGAAATAAAAATAAGAAATAAGATAAGATAAAAAATAGAAATAAAAACACTCTTTATTTAGACAATAGAAAATGATTTTCAACATTAAGTTTCTTTAATGCTTTTAGTAAACATTTTAGTTTATAAAATAATAAAAGTCAAAACAGTAGTAAAAAAAATAATATAATAAAATAATTGAAAATAGCACTAATCATAATTAAAATGTATTTTGTTACAGATCTCAAACCTGTTGAAGCATGGAGCGGGAAACAGGAGCCCGTCAGAGCCAATCAGAACCCAAAGAATCGCCCAATGGGAGCCAGCCTTCGTCTTCTGACCCCGCCCCTTCCTCCTCCACTTCCTCCTCTGGCCCCACCCCTTCCCCGGTGACCCCCACGCCCCCCCGCCTCACCCCAAACCCTCTGCTCTTGGACAGTCCCGCCGGGGCCCTGTCTACCCCCATCACCTGCTCCCCTCCTCCGCCCCTCACCCCGGCGCCCTCCCTCTCCGCCTCTGCACACGTCACCAAATCTGCCACGCCCACTTCGCCTCACCTGTTGGTCCCGGCTCCGCCCAAACTCACCTCCACGGCCACACCCACCCTCCGCACCTACGCCCGCCCCATCCTGCCCCTGCCAGCCAAAACCACACCCCAAAACTCCAGCTCTGCTACTGCGACTACTGCGAGTACTACTACTGCTACAGCCATTACAAACTCTTCCACTACGTCTGCTACGACCACTTCCTCAGCAACCAAAACGCCCAGCAGCTCTTTGACTAATGGCAGCACCAAGACGGTTGCCACGACAACCTCTACTCCAATCACGCCTTTCCACACGCCAGCAAGCCCACCTGGACGACAGGTATGTAGAAAGTTTTTAATTTCACTTTGTTGTGGAAGATTTATCCTCCAGTATAGGAAAGTAGTGTTATTTATAGTATAAATAGTGTAATTTACGTACATACAATACAATACTTATTTTAATAATATTATACTTTTTGATTATTTAAGTATTTGTAGTACTTAAATAATCTGTAATTCAAATCATCAATAATCAACGTGGGTCTTTTTAAAGGAGAAGTCTACAGCCAATCGTCGTGGTTTGGAGCAGAGGTTTTAGTTGGAAGAAAAATTAGACCATGCAAGTTACAGTTTAGAATGCAATAATGCATGTTTTGCATGTTTTGCAAGTTTTGCAAGGAAATAACATCTCTATGGAGAAACCTGAAAAGTTACAGTACATTGTACGTTTTTAATAAGAATCCACTCAGAAGATCATAGCATAAACTCTAAACTTGTGGGACAAAAAGAGTGATAACTGTTACAAAAGGTATCAGATTGAGTTTGTTTTCTTTTGCTTTATGAAATGCAGTCGACTGCTGTGTGCAGAGTGAGTGTCTGTTTTGCATCTCATTCTAGTTCACTGATTATTCAAAACAAGACTTTTCTTTGAAAAGGACACGGTCAAATGACTGAACCAAAAGTCCCTTTAGTCATAAGTGAAGAAGCTCAGGAGCTTTGTCTTTCATGGTCTGATCATTTTGATTTGCTCTGCATGTTAAAGAATCATCTCTGACCATTTACACATGTACAGTCTAGACTAATCTAATCTAGTACAGTATAATATAGTCTAAAATAATATAGTATAGTATAGTGTAATCTAGTAAAGTATAGTATAGTATTGTGCAGTACATTATAGTATTGTACAGTACATTATAGTATTGTACAGTATATTATAGTATATTACAGTATATTATAGCACAGTACAGTATATTATAGTACAATATAGTATAGTATTGTACAGTACAGTATATTATATTACAGTATATTATAGTATAGTACAGTATATATATATATATATATATATATATATATATATATATAATATATTATAGTCTAGTTTAGTATAGTGTAGTATAGTGTAGTACAGTCTAGTCTAGTCTAGTGTAGCATATATGTAGTTTTTTAAGACGTTCTGCAAGCATAGACACACGTGATGTTCAAGGATGTTTATATATAGTGTACCTGTTGTTATTGCACACTTTGAGAAAAGCAGAAAAACAATCAGAAAAACAGAGAGTTGTGCTGTTGAATCATAAATAAGTAAACTATTCAACCCCGTCCAGAGTAGGTTAACAACAAACAAAATCCCCTTTGGTGTAAAAACATGAACAGAACCAACATTGTTCATCGGTCATATTAGAACATTAACTTTTCTGTTGAGGATATGTCACCTTGTGTCCATGGAAATGTAATGCTTGGAATGTTCCACAGTAAGGCATTATACTTCACTTGAGGGCTGGGAATAACAGGGTCCCTGACGATTCAATACGATACAGGATACATGGCTCATGATACAGTAATTAATATATTCACATGATACTCTGTGATATTGGGCTGTTTTTTAAAGAATCAAATACATTTTAGCAACAATATTTCTTTGTTAAACCACCACTTGTGCGATGTTAATATGAAATACACCCATTTTAATCAGCATAACAGTAAAGTAAAGTAAGTGTATTGCATAAATAAGTTTCCTTCCACTAAATAAGCAAACAAAAAAGTAGAGCAGTCACAGAAAAACTTGCTAAAAGGTTCCAAAAAATACTCTTGGTCATATTTTGATACAGCAGATCATGATAAAGATCCTGTATCACCACATTTACTATCACTATAGATCGGCATTTTAATATTTGTACACACCTCCACTTCACTTTTGTAGAATGGACACGCTGAATGCCACACTACGGAACATTCCAGGCAAAGGAAGAAACCTCCCCCAACTGTTTAGTCCTGATATAGTCCTGCTGTAGGCCAAATTTAATCCTGATGTAGTCCTGGTTTTGTTCTGATGTAGTTCTGGTTTAGTCCTGATTTAGTCCTGGTTTAGTCCTGATGTAGTCCTGGTTTAGTCCTGATGTAGTCCTGGGTTAGTCCTGATGTAGTCCTGGGTTAGTCCTGATGTAGTCCTGGGTTAGTCCTGATGTAGTCCTGGGTTAGTTCTGATGTAGTCATGGTTTTGTCCTGGTTTAGTTCTGATGTAGTTCAGATGTAGTCCTGATGTAGTCCTGATATAGTTCAGGTTTATTCCTGATGTAGTCCTGGGTTAGTCCTGATGTAGTCCTGGTTAGTCCTGATGTAGTCCTGGGTTAGTCCTGATGTAGTCCTGATGTAGTCATGGTTTTGTCCTGGTTTAGTTCTGATGTAGTTCAGATGTAGTCCTGGTTTAGTCCTGATGTAGTCCTGATATAGTTCAGGTTTATTCCTGATGTAGTCCTGGGTTAGTCCTGATTGTAGTCCTGGGTTAGTCCTGATGTAGTCCTGGGTTAGTTCTGATGTAGTCCTGATGTAGTCATGGTTTTGTCCTGATTTAGTCCTGATTTAGTCCTGGTGTAGTCCTGGTTTAGTCCTGGTTTATTCTCGATATAGACCTGATTTAGTCCTGGTTTAGTCCTGATGTAGTCCTAGTTTAGTTCTGATGTAGTCCTGGTTTAGTTCTGATGTTGTTCTGATGTTGTCCTGGTTTAGTCCTGATGTAGTCCTGGTTTAGTTCTGATGTAGTGCTGATGTAGTCCTGGTTTTGTCTGGTTTAGTCCTGATGTAGTTCAGGTTTAGCCCTGATGTAGTCCTGCTTTGGTCCTGGTTTAGTCTTTGGTTACTCCTGCTGTAGTCCTGGTTTAGTCCTGATGTAGTGCTGGTTTAGTCCTGGTTTAGTCCTGGTTTAGTAGTAGATTAATCTTGGTTTAGTCCTGGTTTAGTCTTTGGTTACTCCTGCTGTAGTCCTGGTTTAGTCCTGATGTAGTCCTGGTTTAGTCCTGGTTTAGTAGTAGCTTAGTCTTGGTTTAGTCCTGATGTAGTCCTGGTTCAGTCCTGATTTAGAACTGGTTTAGTCCTGGTTTAGTAGTAGCTTAGTCTTGGTTTAGTCTTGATGTAGTCCTGATTTAGTCCTAGTTTAGTTCTGATGTAGTCCTGGTTTAGTTCTGATGTTGTTCTGATGTTGTCCTGGTTTAGTCCTGATGTAGTCCTGGTTTAGTTCTGATGTAGTGCTGATGTAGTCCTGGTTTTGTCTGGTTTAGTCCTGATGTAGTTCAGGTTTAGCCCTGATGTAGTCCTGCTTTGGTCCTGGTTTAGTCTTTGGTTACTCCTGCTGTAGTCCTGGTTTAGTCCTGATGTAGTGCTGGTTTAGTCCTGGTTTAGTCCTGATGTAATCCTAGTTTAGTCCTGGTTTAGTAGTAGATTAATCTTGGTTTAGTCCTGGTTTAGTCTTTGGTTACTCCTGCTGTAGTCCTGGTTTAGTCCTGATGTAGTGCTGATTTAGTCCTGGTTTAGTCCTGGTTTAGTAGTAGATTAATCTTGGTTTAGTCCTGGTTTAGTCTTTGGTTACTCCTGCTGTAGTCCTGGTTTAGTCCTGATGTAGTCCTGGTTCAGTCCTGATTTAGAACTGGTTTAGTCCTGGTTTAGTAGTAGCTTAGTCTTGGTTTAGTCTTGATGTAGTCCGGATTTAGTCCTGGTTTAGTCCCGTCCTCTTGTGGTGCCCAGAGTCGGGTCTGAACATGTGACATCAGCTTTTCAGTTTCATGCAGATAAATTTGGAACACTTCCTGAAAATGTGAGACTCTGACCAGGTGCACTTTAAAGGTGCACTGTGTAACGTCTCCGGTAGAGATCCCCCTATCTGCTTGTCACCATGGAGATGTTATTGGAAAGAAGCACAATATGGCATTAAACTTTTCCAACTCCATAAAAAACAAGCCACCAGGTCGTGTTACAGGTCAGATCTGTGGAGTGGTGACTCCGCTCGCAGTAAGAAGAATGAGACGCATCTAATTGAATAAACACATGATAGTTTGAAGTTTAATGCCACACTGTGTAACATTTCACAGCGAAGCAATTACATCTCCATGGAGACAAGCAGATAGCAGGTTACACGGTGCGCCTTTAAACGTCTCACATCTTCAGGAAGTGTTCCAAATTTCTCTGCGTGAAACTGAAATGACTGAACCCTGGTTTTTTATTCTGAACACTTCTCTTTTACTATTAATTTCGTGACGATTATTAGTGTTTTTATTAGCTCATATTGTGATTTCAGTTCCTTTCGTCACCTGTACGTAACGCATTTTGAATTACTTTGTGTATGAATTGCGCTAAACAAATAAGCTCGCCATGCCCCAACTACTAACAGTTACTTGTCACCGTAAACAACATGTGCTCCTCCTTTCTCCTTCAGACTGATATAAAAACACTGAAGAGCACAGAACTGAAGAAGAGTTTGTCCAGTTCACAGAATTAAAGCTCCTATATGACACAAAATGGACTCTTGTGAGCTTTTAGTCGTCTTATGATGTTGTTAATTTGACAAAAACAGACCCGGAGTTGTGTTTTGTTTCATTCACACATGTTTCAAATAATCCCCAAAGCTCAAAATGCTCTTTTCCACCTTGTGATGTCATGTACTGCAGACTACTACTAATACTATGACTTTGATGAATCTAAGAAGAGATGCCAAGTATTTGTTTCTGATTTGGACCCATGTGTATCGGAGTAAATCATAGTCTAGCAAACTGAGCTTGGATGAATGTTTTCTTTATGATTCTTGACTGTTCATAGTTGAAAGATTGGATTTTCATTGAAGCGAGTTGTTATTTTTGATTGTTTGTTGGCTTGTGAAAAACAAAACAAAACATTCATAAGCTTCAGATAGACTATAGAGACATTATTCATTTCAAATTGTGTTATTATTTTATATTTTGCTTGTTCTGGATTCAATGTTTAAGTAAAACTATTATTAAACATTTATTTTAATAAGAAAAGGTTGAACTTTACATATCTCAAAAGAAGAGAAAACATGCAGATGTTGTTGAA